GTTAGATCCATACAGTTCCACCCTGTTAAATCTGTATAGTTCAACTTTGTTAAATCTGCGATAAGTGTGCTAGTTAAATCCGTACAGTTCCATGCTGCTTTTTGAAATATCTATGCATTTTTTGTTGATCTTGATAATGCGCATTATTCAATTGTAGATGCTTGATAAAACAGCACTGGTTGCTCGTGATCCCGGAGGTCATCCCCATTGCTATCCGCCACCGAGCCAGATGCCCGGTGCTTCATCCTCCTCGCACAATGCTACCGCTTCTGCAACCGATCCATGCTCACAAATTGCTCACGTACTTCAGTGCTATCAACAGGTTGTTGCTTCCTTGCTGTTATACTTCACTGATATGGTTCTCACGTACGAGTCCGTAAAAATTTTTGGTAAAAAAACTGCTATCGCGGGAATCAGAAGAGACAGAAAGCTGAAATTTTGAGGTTCCTGACGCGAAAATCGCTAACTTGGGAACCAGGAAAGCTTATAGGCTGAAATTTTCAGAGAATGTTCCCAGCATATGTATAACTTAAAGTTATCAAATTCAGGCCCCAGGCAGCATGGTTCTCACATACGGCCCCATGAAATTTTTTGGCGGGAAAGCTATTTCGGGAACCAGACAAGATAAGGGGCTGGAACTTTGTGGGAATATTCCGTGTGCATCTTTCAGCTAAAGATTTCAAATTCAGCTCCCAGGTATGCGTGGTGCTCACGTAAGGGCGTATGAAAGTTCGATGTTTTGAAACGGGGTTTTTTCAATCCAGAAAAGCAATAGAAGTCTTTTTGGGCCGAAAAATAGATGAAAATTTTTTAAAAAGAAAAGTAGATGAAAAAAATCCTTAATTTCTGGAGAGTTAATAGGCACTGAAAGATCTCCAAAAAATTTTTAAAATGCTGGATTTTTAAAATGCCCCCGTACTCCCGTGGCTCAAATTTCCAGTTTTTAATCATTTTTTTAAAGAGTACCACAGCATCCAACAATGTTTTTCTAGGGTGGCGAAGATGCTGAATTTGTTCGCAAAGCAATCGAAAGTTTGGTGAAAAAACTGAAAGATAAACGAAATGAGCTGGAGAATTTGATTACCGCTGTCACATCGGCTGGCAAACAACCCACTTCTTGTGTTACTATTCAGGCAAATTTTTTTTTTTTGCAACTTTTTTGCTTTTATCACATAAAAAAGAGCAACTGAAATACCGGAAAGAGGTGTTATGATCATATTCTAAATATCCGTTTTTGCCGCTAGCGACATCTTTATCCATTTCGATCTGTAAATCCAAATCGCTCCGTACATCCGATTTAATGGAAAAGCGTAACTGGCCGTGAAATGGTGCAAATCTGATATTATTTTTTTTTAATTTTCTCAATTATATATGTGTTTATGTATCACCACAAATCTCTTCATTGCGTCTTCATCTTACATTGATGAAATAGGCCGGAGTGTAGCTGCTGTTTTGCATAAAGAACCCAGCTGGAATGCAACAGGCTTACCGGTGCGACTAAGCGTTTTTGTACCAAGCTTGAAGTACTCAGGTCGTTAACTGCATGAATGGTTGTTGCTTTACGCCTACCTTTTGCGCTCACTACCGTAAATCGTAAATTTTGCATAAACGAAAATAAACAATTTCTGTTTAGCGGTCATTCTATGAAAATGACTTAGTCACTTCATGTAGGACATCGGCTCGTATAGGAAAATGACCCGTTTTTGCTAAATTTTCGTATTTGGCATGTGACCAGATACCATTCAGAACTATTTTCACTTGCGTATACATGTAATTTTTCAGAGATCATTGGATGGACGATTGCAGGTAGCTGGGAGGAAAGGTGTCCCACATGTTGTTTATGCGCGTATTTGGCGATGGCCTAATGTAAATAAGAATGAGCTGCAGAAATTGCCAATCTGTGCTGTTGCACCGGATAATCAAGTATTTTTTGGGCAGCTATAGCAATAATAAAAATAAAAAAAAAAGAAAATTTTTGTCAAAAAAATTTTTTCGATTTTTCAAAAATTTGCCAATTTCTTCAAAATTTGCTAATTTCTTCATAATTTCAGGTATCCTTTGGACAGTGATAGCAATAATAAAAATAAGAAAGGAAAATTTCTATCAAAAAATTTTTTTCGATTTTTCCAAAATTTGCTAATTTCTTCAAAATTTGCTAATTTCTTCAAAATTTCAGGTACCTTTTGAATAGTGATAGCAATAATAAAAATAAAAAAAGGAAATTTTTATCAGAAAAATTTCTTCGATTTTCCCAAAACTTGCCATTTTTTCAAAATTTAAAATATCATTATTGTTAAATACTTTTCCAGGATGTTATATGCATTAATCCATATCACTACGAACGCATCGTATCATCAGGAATTGGCAACATTGGTTCTTTTTTTTTAATTTTTTTGGTTTTTGAACATTATTTTTATTATCTCAAATTTAATTGATTCTTCAATATATCAAAAATACTAAGACTACCAGAACGATCGGTGTGGATATCCCATCTTAATGATGTTACTGGAATGCTCCCGCCACACGCCGGCCGCTACTGAGCTAAGGCCTTTGATCCTGAATTTTTAATTAGCACTTAGCGTTTTTATTTCTTTTTTTACATCTTGTGCTTGGAGGGTGCCCGATTTTTTTTTTCAGTGAAAAATTATCATTAATTTTTTTAAAATTATCATTACTTTGAATTATTTTTATTTTTAAAAATTATGTGGTACTATTATTTTTACTGCTTACTACCAGAAATTTACGAATAGCTGCGCAACTTCGTCCATGTAAACTTGATTAATTTTCAAACCTTGAATATTTCTACATATTGTTCATTGGTTTTTTGGCGACTCGTTTTGATAATTATCTTTAATTTTTATCTTTTTTGGCACATACTTGAGTCATCTTCTTGAATTTTTCCAGTTGTTTTGTCTATAACTGCTAGCTTGCTGGACAGCTTATTGCTAATCCTAATATTTGTACTATCTTTCGAAGAGATTACCAGCTTAGTGGCTTTTCCGGCAAAGACACAGGGCAATTTTTTTACTTATTTGAGACGATGTGTGTGTGTGTGTGTGTGTGTGTACGTATGTGTGTGTGTGCGCATTTGTGTGTATGTGTTTGTGTGCATGTGCGGGTGTATGTGTGTACGTATGTGTGCATGTGTGTGCGTGTTGAACATCATCAACTCGTTTTGAACGCTGTTACTCGTAAAATCGTCATAAAATTCCTTACCTATTTTTCGTAATACAGTACTGATGAAAACCTTAAAACTAACAATTTTTTGTGAATACACTCCTTGTTTAGCTTGTAGATTTTTTATTTCAGATATGTCTACGCTACGTTTAGATGCTCTGGCAGCGCCAGCGCAATCATCATCACAACCTGTAACAGTGAATCCTACGCCAGCCAATGTTATTTCTCCACAAATTCGCCAAACACAGCCACTTCCTGTACAGCCACCGCTGCCCATCGAACAGGTCTGTTTTACAAAAAATTTTTCTCAAAATTTTGTAAGTTTTTTAAAATTTTCAAAATTTTTCAATTGTTTGTTTCGAATAAAAGTGGAGATTAGTGAAAACATATTTGTACGTTGTAAACATATCTTTAAATAATTACAAGTAATTAAAAGTTGGTCAAAAAAATTATTCCATGAAAAAATTTAAAAAAAAAAACGAGCTGAAAAAAATTTTTTGGAAAAAAATGGAAATTTACGGTGATTTTTTTTAAAAATTCAAGCACTTTACATTGTGGTGTTTACAGAGTTCGTACTGTGATATTACACCACCATCGGCACTTAGTATGCTCCCGAGTGGTACTGCTCGAGATGCTCAGGGAGATCCCTGTCCTTGGTTAAGTCAAAATTGCATGTTATCAGCGAATTCATCGAACGCGCAGCTGTATCAGCATTCGCAAGGTCCGTCTGTTTTTCTTGCTAGATTTTTCTGTTTTCTTTGGCATAAGCCAATACCAGTTTACCACTGGAAGGAGGGTAAACCTCCCCTTGATGGAGTTGAAGCACGAAAATAACGTTATCTGC